CACACCATTAGAAAGATCGATGTAAGAATGTCCAAACTCCTCTGTCATATTGTCCACACCATCAATATGAGAATATTTGCCCAAGCGGATAGTTTGGGGATGAATAGAGGAAAACAAATCTACCAATTTCCTGAATAGTGGTAACGGTTGTAGAAACTTCGTTTAGGACTAGAGTTAAAAGAAGTGACATGACGAACTAGCGAGTTATGGAAGAAGACTTGATTAATTGGTAATCTGGTTGGGGTTCTATCATATAACTTGATGAATCAGCATTGTATGCATACAACACACCAGAATATACGTCCACTTTGCAGGATCAGACCACAGCTGAGTTAGCAAAAGATGCGGATGTGGCCGAAAATCCGCATAAACTTTAGAACCTGAAATACTAAACCATTAATTCCGATCTGAAAATTAGACTTGAGGAAGTAGGCAGAATTGTTGTCGGTGCTTCTGGACCTGACATTTTCTGCCCATTAGGGACACACGAACTCTCAGTACGGATAGACAGGGTTTGTTGGGCAATACGCCGAGGGCTTCTTTGCTCAAATCAAGAATTCTTTCTCTCCTACCATTCATATGAAATGAAGTAGGACATAGTAACCAGGAGAGGGAGATAGAGAGTGAAAAAAACATGTATACAACTTACAAGTGTACACCACAAGGTTGCGTTCAAAAGCCATCATGTTCAAGAGTGTCTTGTTATCAATGTGTTCTATTCCAAGAACGTCGCGGCCAATCCGTTTGGAAAATGGAGTCATACCTTCTAGAACGATCAAGTTCGAGCAGGATAGCACAAAGGCCAGAAAGAGCAGCATTTTGTCGCCGGTAACTGAGGGTGAGCTGTCTGCGGGAATAAAGAAGAGTTTACAGCGGTACCGATCAAAGCTGATTAGCGCCGCTATGAATAAAAGCATGAATGGAGTAAAGTGTAGAATATTACTGAATACACGATTTTTTATTTTCATGTGAAACTGGGACTAATCTCGAAGTTGGTCGAGGTTGGAGAGAACATTTATGCTCTCGATTTGTGCTAAAGTCTGCCTTGAAGGCCAATCTCGTATTTTGAATAAAATTATGCTTCGGGACTATCAGCAATCTCAGAAAAGGAACTTGCGTCTGATCAAGCCGGGCTGGTTCAAAATTTAATTGAAATGGGCATTAGTGTCAATAAGGCAAACATGTATTTGCCTTTAAATTCTGCAATACTACTGTCTATATTGTGAGTAGGTTTCAGAGCCCATTAAATTGTTAAAAATGCATAGTATATTTGGCATAGGCTTGTTCCAAAGCTTTCATTATTATTGAATAGGAACTTATTTGTCGTAAGCGGCTAAAAAAGATTTAAGGACTGATGTTAAGTGTTTCCACAATAAGATGAGTAGGCCTCAAGATATCTTCAAATTTATGTTAATCTCGTCTCCAAAGAGGTTTTCTTACCCAGTCTGGACTGCAAGCTCGATCTCACCTAGGTCTCATTGGCACCCATAACGGATTCGAAAATAAAGTCGAGCAAAGAAAAAGTCATGCCTAAATGAATCTCTTAGTTCACAATTGCTGGGCTCACCTCTATTTCGATAGATAGAGTGTGTGATGTGAAAAGATTCGTGTAGGTCACTCTCATTAGAAGATGTCGGTGGATTCCCCGAAGCTAAATGTGGTTTTGTTTTACTACAACGCTCCAATCGACGCATTCCTCAAGACACCCTCTTTCGGGTTCTGTGAAAACTTTTCAGGCTTTCATCTGTCCTGTTACTTAACAGAAATCATTAGAGCTGGATACCATTCACGAAAATACTTTGAAATAAGGAGTCAAGAAGATCTATCTATGCTCGTAAAAGTGAAATCGTGTTATATAATCCATTTTCATATATTTCTAAGCTCACATCCATTTGTATGGGTTTCGTTACTTGAGGGGCTTTGTGAGTATATACTGCCGTTGGAGAATAGCTAGATAGTTTTCTGGACATTTAACGACGCCTATCACATGGGTTGATAGACAAAAAGTCATAACTTTTAATGAAATTTTGGCTTTAGGATTGTCGCAGAGTGGATAATAATGGATTTTGCGTAGAAACCCTGTGAACCCGATCGAGCTGTGCTAAGCTTTCGTCTGTACTGTGACTAACATCATCAGAGCAATAATCCGTAATTGACGCAATAGCGCAAAAAACACGGTAGGCCAGGAAAAAAGATACCCGGCTGTAGCCCTACACACTTTTTGATACACCCAACCTTGTGATATTAAAAAGGCATCCCATGACTTGGTTGACGACCTCAAACTAATTCTTCATGCTTACGGATGAGTCAAATTAATTCATGAACAGGAAGTGGATGTGTTGACAGCCATTTCTTTACATGAATAAACTAGCTTACGATTCTATAATGTTAATCCATGTTTTGGTTTGTGCTCTTATATATTGTGTGTATGTAAAGATCATGTCATGAGGTGTGATAGCCCCAACCAGACTCGAA